ATGTCTGTTATATACATATATCCTCGCTTCGATATTACTGAAGATTAATTCATTCTTGCGCTGCGATTCGCGCTTTTCCTCCCGGCTTGTTTTCGCAACGTGGAGACGCAAAAACAAACCAAAAAGACCCGCGAGTCTGGGATTGTCTGGGACGATTTAGGCTTCTATGTGGAGACAGTTTTAGAGAACATCGCAAATACATCGTGGAGAGCGACGAACTTTGTAGCTATATATTAAACGTAAACGTGTATATGTATATTTCCGTCCTAGAATAGCTGCTGCGTCCTTACTGTATCCGTTTTACTTACTGCATCCGTTGAATGACTGATCCTTTTGCAAGGCCGAAACGACGAACGGGAATAATCTATCGACGAGAAGATCGGAAAACACTCTGCAAAATACAAATTAAAAGTATAATATATTACGTACAATGTTACTTTCTTAATCATTAGAATAACTGTTATGTACAACTTGTATTATATTATCTAATATTATTAAATGGGAAGTTATAGGCTACTTTTCTTTTATTAGGAGACACAATCGACACAAAGTTCTATCCTTCTTGACATTCAATGAATAACAAAGATAGAACGATATATTTGTGTCGACTGAGTCTCCTGAAAGAAACCCAGCCATAATATATTGACATAATTACTGTTAATTAAAATTTATGTTGCGTGAGATATATGACACAGATTTTATAAGAAAAAATAGAGTTAAAATATTTTGTTAAAGTTTGCTGCGACTTTTAGTTAGATATACTGCATTCTTGTTTACGACGGCAATAACTATAATATATGATAGAGACTTGTAAAAATAAGGAAATCTATTATAATATCGCTATCGCGATGCATATATATTATAGATATGATAAGAACTTGACTCGTGTGTTTTTCATGCCTTAATTAAGAGTGACTTCAACTGAAGTCCGGCGATTATCTTAATTGTATGATCGACGATTAATTTGATAACTAATAGTAATAATGTTTCTGTTTTTTTAAGTGCTAAAATGACATTATCAAAATTTGCCAAAGACGTATTAATATTTTGTAATTCTATATATATGATTTAAACGTACAGCTTCTTTTTAAAACAATTAAAATGTTTCCATCCCGACGATTGAGCTAAGTCGACTAATGCCCGTTTCCACCAATGTAGATTAACTTTAATTTCAGTTTAGCTTGCTGTTTATCTTTTTCTTTCTAATCCTAAAACTTAGAAAAAGATAAAGAATAAATTAAACTAAGATTAAAGTTAATCTTACATTGGTGGAACTAGATATAAATCAACCTAAGTCTGAAACGTTGCTCTATCAAGTGGTGTAATTGCTAATTTTTTTAAAATAGAATATATTGTTAAAAAAGTCTTTTTACCATAACTTGTAAAAAGACTTTTTCCCTAACCCAATATTTAAAAGTCACTGTCAACGCCATCTATGTTGAATTTCCGCAAACTATAAATAAAATTCACGATTACCTTTAGCTACCCAGAGTGCGGTCCACTTGGCGCTACAAATGCTTCGAATTGTTTGGAGCGTTGTTTTAACCGGTCTACATGGCGCTTCAAATGTGTCTCAATAGCACGTATGACGTCATTAATACATCACAGGTTTCCACTTCCACCTTATTTCCAATTGCTTTCAATGCTTCTGCTTGGAGAGGTAGTTTAACTGAAGCGTTTAGTTTGAATATACAAAGCGCGGGAAAGCATAATAATAAACGAACGAAAGTATATCTGTAAAGCTGATTTTTAAATTTACATATTATTATATATCGTGGCATCGTGCTACATATATTACTACAAATCGTGCTGTATGGTATATTGTGTATATTACATTATTAAAAATAAAAATTATATAAACTATGCCGATTATAAAGTTACATGGGAAGGAGATACTGGAATGATTCATAATCTAGAAGTTTCCGAAGAGGATGCTATTATCTTCATCATAAATATAAGTAAGCGATTCTGAAAAAACTTCACAGCGCACGTTAGCATGACTTTCATTTTATCCATAATTGCAAAATACGTACTAACGCTTCAAAACGCTTTAAAAATTGGTCCATTTGCATACTGTTGGCAGGATTAGTAGTGCTAATGGACCGTTCTATAGAAGCATATGAAAGTGAAAACGTTTGAAGCGTTTGTAGCGCCAAGTGGACCCCACCCCCAGTGAGAAATGACAATGAAAACGATGTCGAATAGACATCGATTCGATGTCAATTTGATGATTTCGATATCGATTCTATTGTCATTTCTCACTGGGTAGTAATCCTGATAAAGTTCCTATCAGTTTCAGCAGATAATGCCACAATATGTTCCACATTGTTCCACATTTTTTAATTTAACGGTGCATTACTCCTTGATAGTTCATCATATTGCGATCAAACCGGATTGGTTTCACATCGATTTTTCGTACTCGTGGCACATAAGTAAGATAGGGTGCGGTTCACTTGGCGCTACAAATGCTTCGAAGCTTTTGATTAACCAATCGAAAGAAAGAATTTTACTAATTGACCAATCAAAAAATACTTCAAAGCATTTGTAGCGTCAAGTGGACCGTAGTCGTAGTAAGGATATGGCATAAAAAATTATTCAATTATTTTACATGCAACTTTATAAGAGAAATGCAATTGGATAATTCTCTTTATGCATATGTTTATGTGGCTATGCAAGTTTGTGTGGATATACCATACAAAAGGAGCACAATTAAACTTTTGCATAATGCATAACATGTAATAAGAAAATGAACCAATCGAAGTCTTTCGTTTCTTTCTTTTCCATGAAATGAAGAACTCTGATTGATTGAATTTCTTATGCCTATGTGTTAATGCATAACACATAACACATGAGGCATAAGAAATTGAACCAACCAGAGTTCTCTATTACATGGAAGGGAAAGAAACGGAGAACTTCGATTGGTACATATTCTTATGCATTACGTGTTATGCGTTATGCAAGAGTCTGTGCTCCCCGCTTTAGGGTATATCCACACAAACTTGCATAATCGCATAAACATATGCATAAAGAAAATTACCCAATTACATTTCTCCTATAGAGACGCACGTAAAATGTGATTGGATAATTTTCTTTATGCATACGTTTATGCGACTATGCAAGTTTGTGTGGATATACCCTTAGGGTATATCATAGACTACATTTACACGGCACCCTTAATCGAGTTTAATAACATCTGTAGTTATGAAACTGGCCAATCACAATCATTCCATTCTCCCGAGGAAAAGCTATGATTGGCCAATTTCATAACTACGGATGTTATTAAACCCGATTAAGCGTGTAGCAGAGGTCATAGACGTATAAGATAGACCCAGCATCTATAGTATATGTTGGGGTTTGGCAGACGGTGCGAGAGGCAAAATATCGGAGCAACCTGTCCTTTTCTACGCGTGCATCTTGATATTCTTGACAAAATCAAAATGGCTGACTATGTTAGGATCGTCTGTATTCTTTGCCCATTGTTAAGACCGCAGCACACACTCTTGCATAACGCATAATGCATAGTGCATAAAGGAATCAACCAATCAAAATTCTTCTTTTTCATGGAATGGGAGGAAAGGAAAGATTCTGATTAGTTGATTCGCCTATGCACTATGCGTTATGCGTTATGCAAGAGTGTGTGTCTGGGCTCTAAAGGCCGCAGCACACACTTTTGCATAACGCATAGTGCATAAGCGAATCAACTAATCAGAAGCTTTCCTTTCCTCTCATTCCATGGAAAAGAAGAATTTTGATTGGTTGATTCGCTTATGCACTATGCGTTATGCAAAAGTGTGTGTCTGGGCCCTTATAATTGTGTTACTTTGCGTCACCCAGTATTCTGATGGACAAGGAGAAAATATCCTGTCACACGTACATGAAGAATATGTATGTGTACGTATTGTATGCATGTACATAATTAGAGGTTAAAATGTTTTACTTACATGTGAAAGAATATTTTTTCCTATTCGCCAAATTTCTTTTGATGCCCACATGCATTGCACGTCTTCATATATTCAATTTTTTTTTACAAAAGAAACGCAATATTAAAGGCCCGTCTACAATACACGGAGTAAGAAGTAAGAGTAAGAAATTGACCAATCACAGTCGAATGTGAGAAGAATAATCGACTGTGATTGGTCAATTTCTTACTCTTACTTCTTACTCCGTGTATTGTAGACGGGCCTTGACAGTTATTAATAATGGGTGCAAAGAATACAGAAAATTCTAACGTAGGCAGCCATTTTAATTTTTTCAAGATTGTCAAGATGCGCGCGCAGAGAAGAACAGGTTGCCCCGATATTTTAGGCCGCAGCACACACTCTTGCATAACGCATAATGCATAGTGCATAAAGGAATCAACCAATCAAAATTCTTCTTTTTCATGGAACGAGAGGAAAGGAAAGATTCTGATTAGTTGATTCGCTTATGCACTATGCGTTATGCGTTATGCAAAAGTATGTGCTGCGGCCTTTTGCCTCTCGTACCGTTCTGCCAAACCCAGCATATACTATAGAAAAGTATACGGATGCTGGGTCTTATGGCCGGTATTCATAGTCGAGTCTTATTTTAAGGCCAGTATTCATAGTCCGAGCTCAAATCAGTACTTAAGACTGTCTTGATGAAGATCGTCTTATTCAATTGAGATCGCCTCAAGAATGGTACATTTCATAGTGACGAAACAAGACGGTCTTCGCGAAGAAGTTCTTGTCTAAAGCCAGCAGCACACGATGCTTGTTTTCCTGCTGGATTGCTAGCTGGATTAGAATCTTGCCACCGTATTGGCTATGATGCTGATACCGACAGCATCACAGCCAATACGGTGGGAAGATTCTAATCCAGCTAGCAATCCAGCAGGAAAACAAGCATCGTGTGCTGCTGGCTTAAGTTGTTCTTATTTAAAATAAGATCATCTTCGCGAAGTTATACTTAAGGTAATACTTATTTATGATTCGGCTGTTTCCGTGATATTTCCTATGAATCCAATGGAAACGTTGCATACATTGAACTAAACGGAAGAAACCTAATATATTGCGTTCTGTTACGTTACTATATCTCGTATTAACGAAAACTACTTTTAAAACTACTTTTTTATCAAGAATTTAAAAAGAAATACTAAGGTATGAAATGTTAATTAGAGAACTACGATATATCCGGAGATCGCTAATTTTTATAAAATTATTTTCTAAAATCAGCGAACTCAAGTACTTATATTTATTGTTATAACCTCAGTGATAGACTCGAGAATCTCGACTGAATTGATTTTTATGCTTTTTACATTGCTAGAGAATCTATTGCTAAATCGTTATTATAAAAAAATTAAATAACGGTTCATAACTTGTAACGGCGTTACTTTCCTATCCCTGATTATTATAAATTATAATATGTGTTACAATATAGAGACATATTACTCAATCTCTCGTCTTATCTTTGTTTGATTATGCTAATTTTATGCATGTCTCTTGTTTAAAAAGTCTGAAATTTGATAAGAAATGATAGAATATCCCCATAAAAGTTTGATAGAAATCCTATATGATTTTATCTGAACCTATAGATTTCTATCATTTCTCCTTGGACTTTTTAAGTAGGGTAGTCAACGTCTCCTTCATAGGATTCAGCTAATCCAAAATAATCCATAATTATATATAATTATATATATAAATATATATATGTATAATTATATATAATATAATTGTATATAATTATATATAAAAAAGTTTCCAGGGTGGTTATAGAGAACTGTGCAACAATTAAAAAAATTGTGGGCAAATTTAAAGCAAAGCCAAAGGGATGCCTTAACTAAGGAAAAGCAAGCGCGTTTAGCAACTGGTGGGGGACCACCAGAACCAGAAGCAAGTGTTGATCCTGACATCCTCAATATTGCACCACATCTAATGGAAACTGCTCCAGTATTATTCACGTCAAATATGTCCGAAAAAGAAATTGAAGGTAAGTCTAAAATTAATTGTCTATCTTAATTACAATATCTGTTGATATTATTTCTAATCTCGATTATATCTATTGATTTATATCTCTATTGAATTTTTTGTAATATCAATGTATTTTAGTTGTATTTTATTAACATTTATCTACGTATTTCAGATAAACGCGAACTTGCAATCAATATGTTATCTAATAATGAAAACATAGTTATATTAGATAACAATTTGATAAATGATGACAATAATGCAAAAATGATTGATTCACAAGGTATTTATTTCATATGTTTAAAGCTATTGTATTGTAATACTTCTTTATCCCATAACATATTATACTAATTATTAAATAAATATTAAAACTAAATATTAAAATATTATATTAAACTAATTTTCATTAAAATTAACTATATCATCTCTCTGAACAATATAAATTTATTGAATTTTTTCTTATATCTGTTTCATTAATTTTTTTTTATGCATTTTAGACCACGAGTTTGATATATATTTCAATAAAAATAAAATAGACGAAACAAACAAAGAACATTTGAATGATAATGATGTAACAATTGTTGAATTACAAGGTATATATTACATCAATTATATTAAAACGTTTATATATCTTATTATTTATTTTATTAATTTATATATCTTAATATTCCTTTATGGTATGTACAAAATATAATAGCAAAATTATTTTTTTTGTTTCATAGATACACTTTTAAAGAAATGTAACAAAGAAATCTCAAACATTGCAAATGTACAACGTAAAAAGAGAAAACTCCAAAAATTGTTGAATACAGAAGATAATTTACAAGCACAACGTATTCAACAAATTATAAATCAAGAGCAAGACTTAGCGACTGTTAAAATAAGACATGAAGAAAATATGAATAAAATGAGAGAAGATCATTTGAAACGCTTAAATGAAATGGAAATACTACATAAAACAGAAATGAATAAGTTGGAAATGGAAATTAACAAAACAAAATTAAAGATTTCACAAAATCAATATTTGAACAAAGAAAATATTAATTTACAATCGTAAAATTTTGTCTAGAATGGAAACGTGAAAAATGAAAATTTTCTCCATTAATTTCAGTGATAACAATTTTCACTTTTCACATTTCCGCCTTAAGAAAAGTGTTACTTTGATCCGGTATGCTTATGATAGTTTTCTTTGAGGATGTTAGAATTAATATGTACTTACTTTTTCTTTTTAATGTTTTAAAATTTTAAATATGTTTTTGTTTTAAACAGAGTGCTGTCCAACATTTGTACTTTTAGGTTTGAAATTTAAATGTGTCAATGTTCTTGTCTATTGCCATTCCTATTCCTCACTTCATTGCTGTTTTATTGTAGCGCGCGACGCTCAGTCTTAGGATTAATCGTTAAAAGTTTTTGAATGTATAATTCACTATTGTTAAAAAGTATCACATTCTATTATTATTAATGATTTATGTTTCTAATATTAAGTGAATGTTTTTAATATTATACATTCTATTATTATTAATAATTTATGTTTCTAATATTAAGTGAATGTTTTTAATATTATACATTATATATATATATTATATATATATGTTATACATTATATTATACATATGTGCGAATGTTATTATATACATACGTCCTTTAATCATCTAAAAAGCCGTTCAATTAAAGTGTTTCTTATGATAAAACCATCCCCAGGTTGCCAATGAGGTTGAGGAACTGGGACTTCGTCATTCACATTTTCTGCTCCTTCGTCATCTTCTTCTTCTAACTTATCGTTAAAAATCAACGATAGATTATGTAAGACAGCACATGCCACAATAATTGTTGTGGATGTCAATAATTTTGTGCTCAATCCTTTTGATAAGCACGGAAATCTACGTTTCAAAATGCCAAAAGTTCTCTTTACAATTCCTCTTGTCCTATCAAGGATTATGTTGTAACTGCAAAAAAAACTTGTTGTTAAAGAAAAACAATGCAAAAATCATTCTTTCATTATTTTCTGTTTTCTGATTATTACTATCCTTTTTCTTATACCAAACATAAATTTCCCAAAAAAAAGGAAATAATATAAACATATATGGACATATTTCGTATATAATTATAATTATAATTATAATTATATAATTATAATTCTGTACATATGAGAAACACAACCAATAAGAAATAGCCTTTAACGAGCTGGATTTTAGTTGCTATTGTAATTCCTAATTATAATTTACTTCGTAATGTTTGATCATTGAACAAGTCTTTATTATTGTTATAAAATTAGACAAACCTTGTTTCATCATCAGTAACAGGATTATTAATTGGCGTGAGCAAAAATGGTAATGAGGGATATCCAGCATCACCGACGAGCATTCCGTTTAATTGCCGTTCTGTGTATCGTATGTATATGCGTGAGTTCTGAAATATTCGGCTGTCATGCTCACTCCCAGGCCATTCTGGAACAATGTCTAATATTTCGGTGCGCGGTCCAACAACAACCTATAAAAATAAATAAACAATGAGCATACTCTTTCACGGATATTTGCTTCAAAGTAAATTGCTTCGCGGGTTACTTTCGTGTCTTTTATGAACATTGCAGTTCACTTCATCTCTGCAAAAGATAGCCTAATAATCTAAGTATCAGACTGCTTCTCGCTCCAATCAAATGAACTACAATGTTTATGGAACCTTGGACAATGTTTATGGACATTTAATGATGTCTCAAGACTCGTAGATAACTTGCAAAGCAACTCACTCCTTTAAATTACAATAAGAGAAAATTTCAATAAAAGTCTTTATATTTAAAAAATAATTTAAAATATTTAAATGTTAATGTTCAAATATATATAGTTATTTATACTGCTTAATTTATAATATTATACCTGAATATTTAGAGAAAAGTATCCTTTTCGATTGCGATATACTTCATTAATATGTTGAAACCTCGTATGAGTTAAGCGAATATGTGAACAGTCTATCGCTCCATCAATCGAAGGAAGACCAATCCCCCCAGGACCACGTCCAAGTTCTTTGAACAAACGTCTGTTTTCAGAGCGTACTTGATCAGATGTTGGCATTTTTATATATGTTTTCATGTTACTTGCTATTAAACAAGAAACTCGAAATATAATTCGTGATATTGTAGACTGTGAAATTTGTATTACATCACCCACGAGCTGCAAAAATAAATTATATACTAATTTAATTATATTCATATTATTTAAAAAACAATAAACAAAATAATAAAAATATTAGGCCAAATTAACAAGTTTATTGCTAATAACAACTCCATATTAATGCAGTTGTTATTAACAATAAACATTTAGGCTCTATAGGAATAAAATAAATATGAGTGAAGGGCAAAGAGCTAATATTGGTTCTTTGCCCTTCACTCATATTTATTTTAATAAACATTTAGATTCATTAAAGTTATATCGCTCGTTAATTTGACCTAATATTCTTATTTTGTTTATTTGACAAAAACAAGCTTGTTTTTGTTAAAAAATAATTTAAAAATACATTTATGGAAATAATTAAAATTAACATTTATCGAAAAAGATACATACACACACATATATTTATATTTACGCATATATCTACTTGTTTCAATAAATGTATCTTCAAATTACTCATTTTTTAAATAAGAGTAATATATATACTAACCTGAAAGCTTGCTGTTGCGTAAAATCTTAAACATATCAATAATTGTAAAACCGGAGAGATTGGCAAACCGCGATTGTTAATTTTTACTAATCCTTCCTCTATTAATGGTAAAATACCAAGCATTACGGAATCTTTTGAAAATCGAAATCTTTTCTTAAATTCTCGTTCATTAAAAAATTCGAATGGATTTTGTTTATCACGAAGATACCGTTTTGGTGCACGAAGTACCATTTCTTCATCTTCTTCTTCTTCATTAAAAAAATTAATATCTTGGATTTCTAAATTTGTCAAATCCATTATTAAATACAAATGTATTCCTTTTTTTACACAATTTGTTATCAGAAGAAATCAGAAAATAATTTTTTCACTGCTTTCGCAATTTTAGTAGCTGCTACCAAGATGATCGAGAATTTGAACGAACTCGATGCATCCTTCTTTTTGGCCTGTACCAAACGTGACAGCCATCCTTAGGTATTTCTTGATGAAGGGAGCAAATTTCTCGCTGTCGGCCTTATAATCGAGACGATGTATTTCTTGATAGCTCCTGCATGGATAGAATTGTAATATAGCTTCATGCGTTCCAATTTCCAATTTTTGTTGCTCTGGGCTATATATGGAATGACGGAAAATGGAAAATTGTTCTAATCTCAAACCGCAAGTTTTGGAAATCGAAAAATTAATTTTTATTATTTTGCAAAAATCTAATTTCTGAACTAGAAAGAATCCATAAAAAAGTGAAATTTGTATGTATTTTTTGTTATGTTAGGCGATAATAAAGAAATTTTCTAAATTGAAAATTAATTTGAGGTTAGAATGGTTTTCTGTTTTTTCTACAAGTCCGAGGGAAGCACAGCCATTGAAAAATCGGAAATTGGAAGTATCATAAAGATTTAGGCTGTGGTCCGAATCATGCTGCCAACGCTCATGAGCATTGTTTGTCTTCGTTTAACATTTGACAAACAAGGATGAAATGATTTTTAAGCGTTGTGAGCGTGTATCGGACCGCGGCCTTAGTTTTCCGAAATTCCAAAACCGTCACAGCACCTTACCTTTACGATTCTTCAGTTCCTTGATGACACTTTACTGTTTTATTCATAGGCTTACAACTTTGCTTAAGTCTACTTTGACCACGCTTGACGAAGATCGTCTTGTTTAACTGTACATACGTCATATAAGATGTCTTATAACGACTATGAATTCATGACTTATAAGATAGTCTCAAGTCTGTTCTTATTTCGTAGAAGATCGGTTTATAAATCATGTCAAGACAACTCAAGACATTTCTAAACAAGATTGTCTTGGACAAGTCTCGTATTCAGATTTTACTCAAGCATTTACTTGTTTTATGTCTATGAATCTAGAGGGCATCTTAAGACAATGGGTGCGTTCAGCGAATACAACGGTTGCACATCCTGATCATTGAGCGCTCATCGAGCATAAAGTGATCAGTGAACAGTTTCCTGAACGGTCTAAACGTTTATACATGCGCAGTAGCTACACAAAAATATAACCTTATTTAAACATCGCACGTACCGCATAATGTTTATGTTTGGAAAAGTTCTTTTAGATATTTACAATAATGGCTGCTAATTTTATACTTCTGGCTTTGCTAGATGATAATGTTATAGAGAGAAATATAGTGAGACATTTTGTCGAAGAATTACAAAATGAATTACCGAATAATCTTTATGCGAGACGTGGTATACGCTGGAAAAATGAAAATTATTATGAAAGAATAGTTCCGTTATATACTAACAACGTATTTAAAGAACATTTTAGGATG